GACCGACGTAAAGAGCCTCCAAGAACGACGGAGCGCTCCCACTCTCGCGACGCTGCGCATCACAACGACGCTCCTGCTTCGGTGTCCTACAACCTAAACGTTGTTATCGACGGCCTCGACTCATCGGCACTCGTGGACACCGGAGCAGACTACTCAGTCTTGAGTGGGAGGCTCTCTCGCCGCCTTCGAAAAGTCATGACGCTGTGGGATGGACCACAAATAAGAACCGCCGGAGGACACCTGATTACACCAGTCGGGAGATGCACCGCTCGCGTCGAGATTCACGGCGAAACATACCCTGTGAAGTTCGTCGTTCTGCAAGACTGTTCGAGGGACGTCATTCTCGGAATGGACTTCCTGTGTGAATACGGCGCCATCATCGACCTTGCGGAGAACAAGCTGACGCTTCGGAAGCCTGTCCCATCGGTGGAAAATACGAAACCGACGTTAGCTGCAGTGCGAGTCCTCGCCAGCCACGTAAACCTGCCGCCGCTGTCGAGTGTCTTTGTGCCCGTCGGGACCGAAGCAGCCACCTGCGGTGTAGCACTGCTGGGAGGAAGCGTCCAACTTTTCCTCGGACGAGGGATTGGCATTGCAAGAGGCGTAACCGAGCTCCAGGACGGGCGTACTGTAGCCCTTGTCACCAACTTCCGGCAAGAGTCGCAGCACCTTACAAAGGGTACAGCTGTGGGCTACGTCGAGGAAATTGAAGACCCAGTCGTGATCGCCGTGATCTCACGAGACGCCTCTCCGACGCAGAACAAGACAATCACGTCCTCAGAGCTCGACATCGACCCATGCCTCCCAGCCCCACAACGACGACAATTTCGTGACCTTCTTGCCAAGTTCAGTGAGTGCTTCTCCGTGTCGTCAAAAGTGCGCCAAACGACGGTTGCGAAACATCGGATAATTACTGATGACGACGCACTCCCTGTGCATCGGCCGCCGTACAGGGTCTCCGTGAAAGAAAGGGAAGCCATCCAGCAGCAGGTACAAGAAATGCTTGACGACGACATTGTCCAGCCCTCAAGCAGTCCGTGGGCTTCACCGGTAGTCCTGGTGAAAAAGAAAGACGGGACTCTTCGGTTCTGCGTGGACTATCGCCGACTGAACGCCGTAACAAAAAAAGACGTCTACCCACTGCCACGCATCGACGACACCCTGGACCGGCTACGCCACGCCCGATACTTTTCGTCGATGGACTTGAAGAGCGGGTACTGGCAGATTGAGGTCGACGAACGAGATCGTGAGAAGACGGCCTTCGTCACGCCGGACGGACTGTATGAGTTTAAAGTAATGCCGTTCGGGCTGTGCACAGCGCCGGCAACCTTCCAGCGCGTTATGGACACCGTCCTTGCCGGCTTGAAATGGCAAAGCTGTCTCGTCTAACACGACGATGTTGTGGTCTTCGCAAGCGAATTCGACGAGCACCTGAGACGACTGCGAGCCGTGCTACAGGCCTTCAAAGCTGCTGGGCTGACCCTCAAGCCTTCCAAGTGTCGGTTCGCCTATGGTGAGCTGAAATGTTTGGGCCACGTCGTGAGTGCTCAGGGTGTAAGCCCTGATCCCGCCAAGACGTCCGCTGTCGCCGAGTTCCTGAAGCCATCAGACAAGAAGACCCTTCGAAGGTTCCTTGGACTGTGCGCCTATTACAGACGTTTCGTTCGTGACTTTGCGCAAATTTCTGCACCGCTGACGCATCTGACGAAAGACGACGTGCAGTTCCAGTGGGGAGAGGAGCAAGAGCAAGCGTTCGACGAACTCAAGCGAAGGCTCCAGTCGCCCCCTATCCTCGGACATTTTGACCAGTCGGCGGAGACTGAAATCCACACGGACGCCAGCAATACCGGTCTCGGTGCGGTACTCGTTCAGCGACAAGAAGGGGCAGAGAGAGTAATCGCTTACGCAAGTCGGGCGCTGTCTAAAGCAGAACAAAATTATTCAACGACCGACAAAGAATGTCTTGCTGTCGTCTGGGCGATAACCAAGTTCCGCCCGTACTTGTACGGGATCCCGTTTCGCGTGGTCACAGACCACCACGCCCTCTGCTGGCTCGCAAACCTCAAGGATCCGTCCGGACGCCTCGCCCGCTGGAGCCTTCGACTGCAGGAATTCGACGTAACCATTGTGCATAAGTCCGGCCGCAAGCATAATGACGCTGACTGTTTGTCTAGGGCTCCAGTCGAACCTCCAATCTCCGGCGCGGACGACGATGACGACGCCCGTTTTCTAGGCGCAGTTAACGCTACCGACATGCGGGCACTACAACGCGACGACGCGGAACTTAGCTCCGTGATCGACAACCTCGAAGGTCGAGGAGGCTCTGTCCCACGGGTCTTTTGTCGGGACCTACCGAGAATTCTTCAGTAAAGAATTTCGGAACCAGCGAAACCCCCTGGCTACTGGTTGTCCCCGCCAGCCTCCGAGAAGAAATTTTTCAAGCGTGCCACGACGACCCAACGGCCGGACATCTCGGCTACAGCAGGACCCTTGCCCGGATTCGTGACAAGTACTACTGGCCAAAGCTTCCGAAGACCGTCCATCTCTACACACGATCGTGCCATGAGTGCCAGCGACGCAAGAAACCACCGTCAAAGCCAGCAGGTCTCCTTCAGCCGATTACCCCGCCAACCAAGCCCTTCCAGCAAATTGGAATGGATTTGCTGGGTCCTTTTCCACCGTCGACGATGGGGAACCGCTGGATAATCGTCGCCACCGATTATCTTACTCGTTACGCCGAGACGAAAGCCCTTCCTTCGGGGACTGCTGTCGAAGTCGCCAAGTTCTTCATCGAGTCCATCGTCCTCCGCCATGGCGCCCCCGAAGTACTGTTCACAGACCGAGGGTCATCGTTTATGGCACAGTTGACCCAAGAGATCCTGCGTCTAAGCCACACGGAACACCGTCGAACAACAGCATACCATCCGCAGACCAACGGGTTGACGGAGCGGCTCAACAAAACAATCGCCGACATGGTCTCTATGTACGTCAACGTGGAGCACAAGGCCTGGGACGGAGTGCTGCCCTACGTCACGTTCGCCTTCAACACAGCAGCGCAAGAGACCACAGGAGTGACGCCCTTCCAGCTGGTGTATGGCCGGACGGTGACGACTATGCTAGACTCTATGTTGCCGCACGAGTCAGTCGACGACGGGAGTGATGACGCCCAGGTGGTTGCTCAACGGGCAGAAGAGGTCCGCCAGCTAGCCAGACTACGAATTCAAGACCAGCAACATGTCGACGCTCGCCGATATAATCTTCGTCGCCGCGACGTCCTCTTCCAGCCCGGCGACAGAGTTTGGGTGTGGACGCCGATTCGTCGTCGCGGTCTCAGCGAAAAACTCCTGAAGCGCTACTTTGGGCCCTACAAGATCATCCGACGCCTCGGCGATCTGAACTACGAAGTTCTACCCGACGGAACGCGCCCATCTGCAAGACGTCAGCCGCGACCCGAGGTGGTGCATGTCGTCCGGCTGAAGCCGTATTACGAACGATAGGAACGTCCGGCTAGCAATTCTGCACTCCTTTTGTTTTTTTGTTTCCGTTTTTGTGCTGCATCGGGACGATGCACTTTTAAAGGGGGGGATAATGCCGCGCCCAGGGCTGAGAAAGCAACGCTCGGTCACGAACCTCCAGAAAGTTCTCGTTTATTCATGTACCGCACGTAACTTCTATCATTTATTCCTGCTTTTGTTTTCTAGAAAGTGCGTGTTCATTCTCGCCCGATCACGCGGCGCTCGAGCCGCTTTCGCCGAATCTTCGAGATTGCGACGCACTCTAGATAAGAGGCCGCCCGCGACCTTGTCGAGTCAGTTTCGCCCCAGCGTTCGAATCTGCTGACACGCCGACTTCGACGCCCGCGACGCTCCGCTTTCTTCTGTTTCCTTCTTTATTTTTGGCACGCGTTCGCCACATTAAACGTTTATTTATTTATGTTTATTTCTTGTTTATTGGTCACCACCCGTGACAATATGCATCTGCATAAGACCCTCCGTATGGGTTAAAAAAAAGCACACTAGTGAGGACCGCAGAAACGGGCAGGTTAAAATTGGGATTACTTCCTTACTGAAAAAGAAGTGCTGCTGTATTTCTATTCATCTTTAAAACGTATTTGTGGAAATTCAATATGTAAGAAATGGTGGGTTTTCAAGATGTTCCTTTCATTGGCTCGTTCTGAGTTATCATATGATACACTTCAGGGTCACGTGACTCCGAGTGTGAAGTCGTGGTATCAAAGAATGTCACGACAAGTGGTACACAGTCACATGACTTCATGTTGTCGATTTGTTGTATCACTTGACGTCACGTCACGCGACGTAGTCACGTAATGTGAGGTCAGGTTGCACCTTGACAAACACCCGTCGTTACTATGTTGCGTTCCATACTTAGTGCGCAACGCTTGAAAAAAATAGGCAAATAGGGCGTTGGAAAAAAAAAGAAAGAAAGTTGCGTGGCTCAGGGGAGCAACCAGCTGCTCTTGCGATCAGGATTGCACGGACGGTCGAAGTTTGAATCCACCAATGGGGCTTCATTTTTTTTTTTCTTTCTTTTATATTTTGGTATAGAAACGATGTACACATTTTAGGAATTTAGCAGATAGCAACTCACAAAATTGGACGTTTCAGTTATTTTATAATATAAAACCCCGTAATTTTGCAAACGTTTCTCAAAACTGGCGCCATCCGATCGAGCAGACGTTTGCCGGGATGCCTGGATGAGGAAAGCGCGATTGTGACTAAAAGGGAAAACCAAACAAAAAGTACTTGCAGTGTCTAGATGTTTCATCAACAGTATATTTTCTTTTATTAGGATACTAAAATAAGCATTAGTTACTATTTCTGAACGCACCGCATTTTCTAATCGTTTTACTTCAAAGGTGATGTACCATTTTGTGGTGTGCATTCAGGCAGCGCAATGCGCCGGGCTAGCTTTGACAGCGTTACACGCTATGTATAAAACGGAGTGTAGATCCAACAATTTTCTTGACACAATAACGTGAGATGAAACTAGGACCTTGCTTGCAAGTCCCGTGAGTCTGTGACTTCACGTGACCTGACGTCACAGGGCGTAAGGCCACGTGCTGTGCCACTCACGCCAAGATAGAACACGAAATGTGAGTTAGCTTTCGTTAGGACGTGATACTGCAGTACAATACTCGTGAATATATGCCGAATATTATTGCGCCCGATCGGTGATACCCGTGTACTTTCACCGTTTCCCTGGACTGACAAGCGACCTGCTCCGGCGCATCTTGCAGCGGCAGCGGGGACCAGGGTGACCTGCCCTCGGACAAGCGGAAGCGTCCCCTGCGATTTGCCGGGCAGCACGACATTCAGCTGCTGCAGGAGGTGGTGAACCTGAACCCCTTCAAGGACACGCCTCCCACCACGGCCTGGGCGTCTATCTCGCGGAACCTAGAGAGCGTGCTCGCGATCAGCTCCAGGAGGTGCCGGGAGCGCACCATCCTGATGCTCGACCAGTTCATCAAGGGTGACTACCCGAGTCTCCAGCGGTTCTGCACCAAGGAGGAGTTCGCCGTTAAGGAGCAGCTCTTGCAACAGGTAGGAACAAAGTTTTAAAAAATTCAACGCTGAAAATAGACAGGAAGTGACAAGCGAAAACGATACCAGGCTCAAACGGATCCCTCTTTGGCGATGAAAACGCATCATAGTGAATCTTCAAGCAAGAAGCGTAATTAAAACAAGGCACGCGCTGTTGCCAATTAATTGGCGGAATCGGTCGTTGTCACTTTAAAGCGAGTAACAAAAAAAATAATTTTTTTTTGCGTACGTGCGTTAGTAATTATTTACAAGAGTAAAACAAATCGAAATTTGTTGCGTCCCTTAAATCTTCCACCCTCGTTCAAGTGAAGTGAGCAGTGACGTCACGAAAAAGGGGGGTTGGGGACCACATGGTTTCAAATTTCGGAATTATCAACTTTTTTATGGTCCGGCTTTGCATTGCCTGAGGTCGCGGTGGGCGGGCGACGGCGATTCAAAAGAAAGAACGGTGGTGCAGATTCTTTGTTCGTCGAACAAACACAGTTCATCCAATTCCACTAAAAGGACGACGGAGAGCGTGACAGCGACGAGGGAATGGGTTTGTTTACATCGAGTAGATGGCGCCGAAATAACGTGGGACCTAGGTTTACATTTCCTGATCGGCAGCCACACGCAGCTGCCGATCGGTAAATATTTTGTTGAATCGCAGTATATTCGAGGATGGTTGCGTGTTTTCTCTTTCTTGTGCCAAGACAAACAATATAATAAATCAAGGCTGCGACTGTATGCAGAGTTAAAATCGACGCACTGACTCTTTAATATAAAACTATAAACACTATAACACTATAAAAACGTTCCAGTCAAAGGGCGACTTATTATTTTTTTTTTTTGGTAAAATTGAGGGATTACAGACAATCCTTGGAGCAATGTGTGTCCGCTGAAAGCTGGATTTCCTGAACTCATTGCCACATCCTCAGATGTGATCTCTTGATTTCCGGGGTCTTAAGCACCTCGACCGAGGATCTTCAGAGAAAGTGGACGATTTCATAATGATAACTCCCCGTGGCCGGCTGCCGATGACGACAGGTGGTGCTGGTGGTGACGAAATAAAGACTGTCATCTCCGATTGAGGACAAACCGTGCTGCACAGCGTTTCACATGTAGTCCGACCAAAACAAACGCCACAATCCGAAAGATGCAATTAAGCAGCGCCAAAAGTGTATCCTCACGGCACTCGTTGTCTTCGTGCGTTTGCTCTCGTCGGCTATACCAAACGTGCACAGGGAATGCGCCGTGGTGATGCGCTTTTTTCTTTGCATGATTGATTTACCCGGTGGTAACAGACGCACCAAGACGACGAGCGCCATCACAATGCACTTTTTCGGCTACGTGATCGCCTCCATGAGACCATAGCGTTGGCTGCGGTCGAGCTTATTGTGAAACGGAATAGAGACCAAGGGCCCTAAACTCGTGAAATACAAAGTTGTAGCCGAAAGTTGGCGGAGCGCGCCGATTGGACGTCGACGAGAAAAACGCGAAGTCATTGTCGTGATCGTCCAATCGGCGCGCTCCGTCAACTTTGCCTCCAACTTTGTATTTGACGAGTTTAGGGCCCCAAGTCAACTCACTGACGTCACGCTCCAGCGGTGGCGCTGTTGTCGGTACTGCGCAAGCGCAAACGCTTCACTCCACTCGAATTTGGTTTCTGAGCACGTGCAGTGCCCAGACCTGTTGTAGGAAACACGGGCGTGTTTGTAAACACTCTATTGGTGTATAGCGGTGTCTGGCGCGAAACCATTCTGCGGGCCACGAGTCCGTCGTCGTCGTCGCCATCCTTCCAAGTTCCTCCAATTCGAATGGACGAATACACGCATAAATATACGGAATTAGGAAAATGTGGGCACATACTCGTTCGGATAAAGGTTTGACGCTTCATTGTTACACAAATGCTGATGACGCAGGCCCCGCGTTATTTCTCGTAAAACCCCCCTAGAGCGCCTGCATTACTCAACTACGACTAAAAGTTGCTCTTTTTATATACGCCTTTACGGAAAGCGATAAAAGATGGGTACTAATATTGCAGTTTTGTTAAAGAAAAATGTATTATTCAGGAGGCAGCTTACCGTTCTAATATTGAAAACTTACTTTGTATGTACATATATACCATACCTGCCAGACTGAGTCGGTAGCGACAAAATAGTAATACTGCCTCTTGTGATATGAAAGACCCATTGGACAATACTGTTCAAGGCTTCTCTGCAGAATTCACATTGACCAGAACAATATTTCTTAGTATCATAAAAGAAACTAACGTTTCTTTTATCCCCTCCTTCAAAATAATGTGTGTCTGGCAAATATGGGCATAGCACTAACGCCAAAACTGAATGGGCAAATGGGTTTTTCTTGCTGCAGGAGGGAGGACATGTACGAGCTCAGGGCCCCACTTTATTTTAACAATCATACAATAAAGGTATACCAGAAGTGCAGTTAATATGCTGCAAGTATTGTGCACTATTATATAAGATATACTTCTAGTGTTCTTTCTATTTTTGTAAAAGTGATAAATCGGAAAATGTTCAATGTACTGCTTTTCGCCAAGCTACTTGATATGTATTAATCACGGCGTCACACGGCCAGTGTATAACTATATAGGCCAGTAAAATGTACCCTTGTTAGTGCTAAAAAATCCAGCTCTGAAACGCAAAATCAACTGCTCCAGAGCAAAGCAAATTATTATTATTATTATTAAAAAATTTAAAAGTAAACATTTGACAGAGATCTGTCAAATTATGCATCATGTCACGAACCACCTTTTAAGTGGTTTTCTAAAATTTTTTATAGTAAAATGCCGGTCGACAAAACTCTCGAATTCATAAAGCTCGATGGCGCCAGTTAGCAAAAGCAGCGAATGTGGACCCCATTTTCACATTCAAAATTTCAGAAAATCACTTATAATTTTTGAATAAGGGAACGAGTTGTGCTCAAATTTTCGCATCTGGTTCGGACCTCTGGCGCAACATCTAAGCAGATGTAATCATTCAGCGATGCACAGCTTATTTTTGCGGTGAAAAAAGCACTGTCAATGTTTTGGGGGGACACCCTGTACATCGTATAAAAACACTCTGATACAGATTCGAACGCGAGTCACCGCGAGATTCGCGCTTCGAGTGCCGCATGGCAATATGTTCAAGGAGAAAAGCTTGGCACGCGGAATTCGAACCCCCGATTTTGAGGTGACACCTGTTTCCAGACTGCCTTTTGTACGATATGTGTAAGCAGTTTGAAACCTTAAGGCAGATACGGCGGTTCAAGCCTGAAGCCGGTCGCAATCGGTGGTTGTTTTTTTATCTCTCCGCAGCTTGTTCATATTACAGCATCCTATAGACGGATACGGGATAAGAACGGCAGGGAAGTATTCTGTCGTCCCCGTCTCCAACGGGAACTTCCTACTTTCCACGATACTTCGGCGTGTCCTGAGCTCCGAGCGTGAACGCACAGCCAAAGCACGACGGAAGGCAAGCAGCGCGTGCTCAAGGCCGGGCAGAGACGCTTTGCAGTTTCAATCCCGTCAGTGGCTATGCGGGTAGACTCTGGGAGAGAGGAAGAGGCGAGCGCTCGCGGTGACGCCAAAAAGCCGGGCTTCATTCTGAAATGATTAGTAGACGCCAAGCTAGCTTCCTTTGTCTGTACTCACTCTCCGAATATGTTCGAACGCCTTCGAACGCCTTCGAACGCTCAGTAGACACAAAGGCAGCTAGTTTTGCGTCTATGCACTGATCATTTCAACCAGAGCTCGATTCTCCAAAGCCCGCGCGCGCTGCGATCTCCCATCTCTTACAGTTTCTACTCCTATCATGTGCTACTCCACCAGAGCGTCGAACCGAAACCGAACCGAAAACCGGAACAGAACCGTTATTTTTGGCCGAACCGGAACTGAACCGGACCGAAATTTTTGCCACCATCTTGTAACTCAACCGTAATTTAATTAGAAAAAGATATAACGGTAACCGGTTCGAAACGGTTCACGGTAGTTTTTTTTTTTTTTTGTTAGTGTTACAAAATGAATATTTTAGAATCAAAAATGGCAGCTGTATATTAATGTATTGATGAAATCGTCATATAGAAAATAGACGTACTTTCATAAATCCATCAACGCGCGCGTTGCACTCTGGGAACCTGTGGCCCAAGAGCTGAGCGTGTATGGAGTTTGGACTATTTCGACATCCACCTTCAAAATATCATAAATATAATTTCGAGGTCTATGACGTCACTTCCGTAAAATGTCAAAATAGTGGCTTTGTGAGGCTTATTGCTTCGACGTCCCCCGCCCCCGTCAAGGCAGCAGTTGCACTGGTGGCCCTTTCGCGGTTTCGTCGTTTCGTTCTATTTAGTTTCTGATGGTGGTGTCGGTGTTGTGTTGGACGCAACATTGAGTCACGTGTAGCGTTCCTAAGAAGTTTCACTTTTAGTTGGCAGTGAAAATGTCTTCTTCAGCGTATGTGTGGAACCGGCTCGACAGTTGATCCTTTCGGATGTGACACGCCTGAAGCGATGTTCTGGGCTCTCGCACGTCATTTCGGCACGCGCCTCACATAAATCTTGAATCTGCAACATAGGCGAGCTGGATATTTCTCTGTCTCGTCTGCACGTAAGAAATGTAAGCGCCTACACTACCAACAAAAAAATTTTTGTCACGCTTTTTATGTTTTCGTATCGTGCACGCGCGCCTTTAATGACTATAGTTTCGCTTTGCATCTGACAACGGCCTTGTTTTTAACACAGTTTTGTAAGTTCACTGTGTAGTTTAGATTTTTTTGTAATTCGTGCATAACAAGCGGGTCAACTATGAAACAATCGAGATGTAAAATACAAAGTTGTGAATGCAAACATTGCCTCCTTGATGTTTCTCGACCGGTGCGAACGAACAAAGTTTCTGGCGAGGTTGTACGAGATGCACGCATTTTCCAAGTGCATATTTTAGTGCACGAGATCCAGCTTCTTTGTCTAAATAAATACGTTAAATAAATCGAGTAAAGCAACGGTGCCACATTCTGTAATTT